TGATCCCTCGGGCGGATTTCTTGGCACCCGAGCCTTCGCTTCGGCAGAAGATGAAGCTGACTGGGACGAGAAGAATGTGGACAGAGCCTCGGAAGAAGCCGGACCTCTCCCCTACTGCTCAGTTGACATCCCGATGGACGACGAAAATCCTCGCGACAGCATCAACGCTGAAGTCTTCTATGACTTCGCCAACAATGGTTACGTAACACCCGCACGTTTTAACACCAACGAAGCAGAACGCATAGGGCCCAACTTCGCACCCGATCCAGAAACTGGAGACGAAGCAGTCTATCCCGAGGATACCACACTCCCCCGCTACACACAGAGTGGGCTCCAGATACTTGGACTCGTCACCGCAGTCCACGGCGCAGCCATTCCTAAGGAGCCTGCGACGGTTCAGCAGGCTCTAAGGAGGAAGCATAAAGAAAAATGGCGCGAAGCCATGGACAGGGAGCTGAAAGCATTAGAAGAGCGCAACACATGGAAGGTTTTCCCCATCGGCGTAGCACGAAACAAGAAGATTCTTACCGGAAAATGGGTTTTCCGAGTGAAGACGAAGGCCGATTGCACCATCGACAAATTTAAGGCGCGCTGGGTCGTACGCGGCTTCGACCAAGAACACGGACGCGACTTCACCGAAACATTCGCTCCGGTCAGCCGACACACCTCACTACGCATTCTCATCGCGATCGTCGCCATGAAGAAGAAGGAGCTGAGACAAATCGACGTTGCGAGCGCATTTCTCTACGCACCTGTCGACGCAGAGATCTTCGTGGAGCTACCACACGGCTCCAGCACGGACTCCACACACGTCTGCCAGCTGCTCAAATCGCTCTACGGCATCAAACAAGCCCCACGACTGTGGCAACAGTACCTGCACGCTCGCCCCACATCCGAGATGGCAGCCGACTATTTGACCAAGAAACTCGGAAAGCAGAAGTTCGAGTACTGCATGCTGCTGACTGGACAGAGCCACGTCACCAGCAGCGACACTCCAGAAGCGAAGGGGAGTGTTGGAAACAATGAATCTTAAGCGCCTCTGTCGTGTCGAAACACTAAGGCACAAGCGAAGTGAAGCCTATCGAAGCACTGGCGAGTCAACCCTCGGAGGTTGAGAGGTTGCTGGAGGTTACGCGAAAGTCAAAGGTCAGCGACCTTTGACCTGACAAGTACAGCGCGACCGCAAGGACACACAACTAACTCACTACAGAGCAGTTGCCCGAGTGCTCACTGTATCGAACCGCAACAGCAACAGTAAAAGTAGTTATAACTGTATCCTTTCATATTCCTTGTAATCTTATATATTCTTGTATCTCCTTGCTTTAATTAATCAACATTGCCCTCACAGCGCAAGGTGGTTCAATCTCTTTATTAAAAGCTTCCGCTAATACATTGTTTTTACCCAGAGTTTACCCTTGCAAAGATCCTAAGGGCTTTTCGCAGCCCAACAATAATGCCTACTTTTACCTATGTACCTCAGACAGCAGCTCGCTTTCCTCGCCTGCTCGTTCCTGTCACCTCCGAGTCACGCCAGTCGACAGCCATTCCCAACGCTCGCGTGTCGTGGCGGTCATTTTTTTTCTCGAGATGGGTCGCGCATGGACTGTTTCAATGCAAGACGGAAGGATCGGCGGAAGCGGCGGCTTTTGCGCCTCCCGCATGCGCTCGTTCGCTCCGCCGCCGCCATGAGGATAGATTCAAGAGACGGGTAGACGCTGGAATGTACACTGCTAGACGGCTAGACGCTTTTCAGCGGGATCTAGATCGAATCGCACATCGCACTTATGCGAGCCCCCCAGAAATACCAGAAGCAGCAGCGGTGCTACACGAGCAGAGCTATTCGAGCCAACTGCCACGTCTGATAATACCGCTGCGGACAATCCCGACGGGAACTCTCCGTTTGAATTTACGACTTACGAATGTGACGAGAAGAGTATCGTTCCAGTAAGTTCTTCAACTTTTCATTTCTCTCAAAATGTGTCGCCCTTCTCTCCTCACTTCTTACTGCCTTATCGCAGGTGACAGTGCTGGCAGCAGCAGGGGAGATCAGATCCCGTACCCGAGTTTACGGTAGATTGGCAACCAGAGGTGACGGTCACATGAGGGAAGGCTCATCCCTGCTGATGGTAAGACTGTAAATACGAATACGAATATGAATACGAATAGTTTATTCGAATATTTGTCGAATAGTACGTGAATTCTTATTTGTCCGAATACAGACCCACGTTCGAGATGAATACGAATAGAATAGTCCGAATCCCTGTCGAATAAGATTAATCTGCGAAATTCTATACACTTCTTAGGTTATACACATTAAAGCATCGTTATTGGTAGCAGGTACCATGAGGTTATGGAGTAATTGTGTCTTCCGTTGTCTAAACTGCTGTGTAAACATGAGATGAGGGCATGTGATATAATATTTAGTATATCTGGTTGTACCTTTAGCTTTTATTAAAGGTTTAGGGTTATTCTGGTCTTTTTACACTGTACCTCTTTTGATATTCCGTACTTACTTTTTGAGTGTACGACGAATCTGGACTTTAACGGAACTGTTAAACTGATTCTATCGACACCCGCCCCAGCCCACCTCGTATCGCCCCGTACGCAGTGTGCATCTAAATACTCCACTTCCCCCATCGAAACTGCTTCTCCCGCCCCTTTCCCCCGCGTACCTGTCTCTCCGCAGGTCCTCCGCCTCTCTCGATCGCAAGCACTTGCTTCTCTTGCTTGCCCCCTGCATTTTTTGCTTCTCCCTCCCAACCATGAACCATGTTACAGATCTGAGAAATGTACATTTGCTAAATAACAAACCATGAACCATGCTACTAATCTGAGAGAGCTACATACCCTAAATAACAAAAAGTGTGAATACAAGTATCACATTATGTTTTTTAGCCTTATGGTGCTTTGTAGTCTTATAACTAATTCTTTTTCCATTCCATCACTTGGAAACCGAACTTCATTATCTTCACACGGTTATTAGCCCTCGTGTAAAAGGGAAAATAATGACAATACAATATACAAGGCATTCATGTGGTTACTAACAACCACAGGTTACACGCGACTGCTTGTCGTAGTAACGAATCTGTTTGACAACCTTGACACATATGTGACGTCTGCGATTGGGAAAGTGCATGTCAGGAGTGAACGCCGATGTTTCATGACGAAACTTTGATATCAGTCGCAGAATCTTGACGGTCGGAATGGTTGATCGGAGGGCTGACGTTCGCCGACATTCCTGGACGATAATGTACATCCGTCAACGTTTAGCTTCAGACACGCGGCCATGTGGTCTTGCCAGGTCAGTTGCCTGCATGCGACCGTTTTCCAGCCACTCTTTTCCCTATCTGACACCCTAGTGTGAGTTTTGATTGTCTCAATGATTTCGGCCTATCAAAATCATCGGAAACGCGTTCGCCCAGGGTTGCAGGCGCTGCGCAACCCATCCAACCGGCATCATTGTTTTGACAAACCTGACAATTTGCTCTCATCCAATCAAAATATGCACTCCAGGATGCTCCACAAATCGCTGCCCAACACGTCAGTGATGGGGTTTCACATATGGTGTTGCGACTAACATTTCTGCACGTTCATCAACCGCACAGAGCCTTCGTGTCCCCCACCAATGAGGTTTCGACGCACATTTCCATGGGCGCTAATCCAGTTGCCCCATTAGCTGGTGTTTGACACTGTTCAAGCTGGCCCAAGTTGCCCGCCAGTCATCCAGCACTTTGGGCTCTAAAGCACGTGTCCTACGGTTGAAGTCACGCTTGCCTCACTATACACGTGTCCTACGAATTTCCAACCATTGCCTCAGATGGCACAGTGCGTTCGAACCCCGCCTCCAATCAAATGGTACCGTGAAGCAAGGGGCCTGAACCGTCGGTTTCCTACAGTGCGTCACTCCAATTTGTGAACTCGGACACATGAACCGCTTCCTTCGGGAATCGCAAGGACATTAGCCTCCTGAACCAATTTCTTCGAATTCGAAGAAATCATTCCAGAAAGCATTGCTCTAGGACAACACACTAAGAGCTTCACCGTCTAAGTGGTTCGCTTACCTTAGTTAGTGCAGTAAGATCTTCGCAGCTTGAAGCCTGTGGTACAAGCACCGAAGTGAGTCGCGTCGTTTTAGCGCGTTTCTCATCAGACACACAATTGCGACCTCGGGGGATTTGCAGTCGTTCGCGTCGCCCAGGCTAACGCGCCTACTACAACCACAGGGAGCAGTTCGCCCTGCTCGCCAGATCTCTCCTGTCATTTTCGCACGCACCGCCGCCTCCGGGAGAGATTCCGGAGGCGGTTAGGCGTTTGATTCTACATCTTACGCGGCTAGACGCTTTCATTCGGATCTGGATCGAAGCTTGGATCATGGTGATTCGACCCACAGAAAGAGGATCAGAATGGCGGGAAAAATGCGCCAGCACAGCAGGCGACGCGGACGACGACACACCAGCCGTAACACCAAGATATGGCGCGACTACGCCAACGGAATCCATTTTCCCCAACCGACCGAACTAACGCTGCCACTGCTCCTCCAGCTGAAGGAAGTTTCCTTCTCCTGTCCCAGCCGGCAGAGTTTTGCGTTTCCGGTGGTTGATGTGGGAACAAGCAGCCTTTTGCAACCTTTAGTGGATCTGCTGGCCTCATCTCTCTTCCCTCTTTTTCTGTTCCAGCCTCTCTACTATACTTCCATTTGCACGTGCGGACTCGTCACAAGTGTGCGATGTGGAAGCGGCTTACGCCGCTTAAGCGGACGATCCCGTCTGACTTGTAGCTGCCACGGATCGTGCTCTTAAGATTCGGAACATCATCGCGCGACGAATTCGCGCGATTCTCACTGCTTTTAGAAGCGCAATATCAGAATGCATAACATCCGAAGCACGCTTTTTTTAAGGAACGTTAGAAACACCACGCCTTCCCCTTCCCCCCCTCTTCCTCCCCTGTCCCCCTCCACCTCTCTCCTCCTCCCCTTCCCCTTCCCTTTCCCCCCCTTCGTCATGCGCAGTATTCAACAGCGCCAGCGTCATGCACCGCGTGCTCGCCTTCCGCCGCTCAGCTGGCAGGAGGACTACCGGCGGCAGGCTCACGGGTGCGTGCATGCAACACTTACTCTGGTTTGTACTGTGCCTCTGTTGGCGTGTGGCTTGCACTGCCGTGTCAGCTTCATGCACTGCCGTGTCAGCTTCATGCACATGGACTGCCGTGTCAGCTCAGCTTCATGCACTTCCGCGTCAGCTTCATGCACATGCACTGCCGTGTCAGCTCAGCTCAGCTTCATGCACTGCCGCGCCAGCTTCGTGCGCCGCTGTGCATGATGTCTTCCTTCTGGCTTGCCCCCTCTGTCCTGCTGTGACGTTTTTCACCCCTGCAGTGCGAAATTGTCACTCCAGCTGATTGAAAAATGGGAGAGAAGATTGGAGGGGAGGCGGAGAGTGGGGGGGGGGGGGGGAGGAGGAATGCGAACGCTACGCTACGCGGTGGGATGTTGTGGTGCAAACGTCCCATAATCACAGGTTCACGACCCAGGATTAGACACGGATTGCTCACCACTAAGCAACCAGAAGCTATGCGCCCATTCATTAGACTTAAATATGTGCTTGCATTGTATAGTGAGGGATGGGCATGGTTTTTACCCTTGCGCACGTGATTGCACCATCATCTGCCTTGAATTCATATGGTTTATGGTCATAGTGTCGTTATCTCAACGATTAAAGACCCTGGACGTGACCACATGAGCTCCATCACCATTGTCAGCAGTCAAATGAACAACATGACACACTTGTGGTGGATGGGAGTACCACATCGATGTCCAAACATGCTCTGCTCCAACAAGCGTGTACGATGAACGACACAAAACCGGGTCACTTAACCATGAACCACATACCGTAGGACTTGGCACAGGTGAACAACGCTAAGCTAAGTCCATTCCACAACCAGGCTTTCGTGCAACACGTGCCCGGCTGCTTGCTTCCAGAAATAATGCTGCTTCCTGCATTCTAATCGCTAATCACATCTGCATTATGGTAACCAACAGGTTTGCCTTGGGCAAACAAAGTAATGTCGATTATTGATTGTTGTTTTTGTTCTATTGGTTGAAACCCTCTTGTACTATGGAGTGTAAATTTGGTTTAAACATGCAGACTATTACCACTGCACACACACACACATGACACAGTCCATTGCATACACATCAACAATGAAACAAGTGCCTTTGTAGATTACTTATCGTGTCATAACATTTGAATGGCAGAGTGTAGTACACTCCATTGTTTTACCCTTCTACCGACATGACTACGTGGCGCAGGTGACACTGCTGTTACCTACAGGCATCTGAAGGTCGTCTGCCCTCGTCTGGCTTGGAAAAGATCAAAAACCGCTCGCCGTTTCCTTGCTGTTGGACAGTGGGCAAGTGTGGAATATTAACCTGGTACAGCATACTCGATCGTTTTGCAATGTGGCATTAGTGTCGCTATTCTGAGATTTACAACAACAACAGTGACAGCTAAGCTAACAGTGGTCGTTATTCACTTGTCCCCCGCGTCCTTTAGTTGCTGATCACGCGGAATACAGCTGGCAATTGTGGGGCGAATGCTGCCTACTGACGTATAGTCTGCTTGGTAGTGCCACTTGTTTAGATTCTAACCACACCCCCTCACTTTTTACAGCTTTCACTTGCCTACTGTTGTTTTGTTTCCAACCCCATCACATATTTACTGTGCCCCCGAGTTCTTCGTAAACGACCGCACCACTGCTCGATAGAGGACGAAACAAATACACTCCCTTCTGCCCGTGAACAAACCCGAGCATGCACCTCTCAGCTGGCCACACTGGTCCCACGTGATTCACGCGACAACACAGCTGTGAAACAGCTGTCAGTTGACACCGATGCCAGCCGATGTCCACTTGCCTGATGAGCGCAACACTCCCAAGTCGTTGCTTGCCCCGCCAGCGCTGCTGACAGCGTGGCTGCTGTCTGTGATGGGGAAGGGGTGGTGTATTGTGACACCACGCCTTCCCCATCACCCCCCCCTCCCCCGAACATCCCCCAACCATACTCATTTTCCGCGCGACCCTTCGCACGGAAAAGCTTCAGCAACCACTACGGGGTACACCTCACCCCGCCAGCTACTTCCCCCCCTGCTCGACAATCGAAATTCTCTGCGTGCCCAGGCAAGAACGACCCCCTCCCCCGAATCCCATCTCACTTTCATTTTCCCAATTTGCATTGTAGGCTCGTTTGACTCTGCTCTCCACTCTGCCGCCTCTCTGCATCTAACAGTCGCAGTCTCCGATCACGTCAGCAACAGGTATGTGACTGCTGTTTGCCCGTTTAGGGTAGCACCTAACGCACGCTTATCGTACGCTGATTGTTTTTTTCCGTGGTTTTTTTTATTGCCTGTGTTCTGGACTTTTGTACTTAGACACTAACCGCTTGCTAATCCCTATTCATGCAGGGTACTAGGAAGTCTGGAATCAGCGCGCACCCTTCAGGGAAAGTTGGTGTTGTCATGCTGTTGTGTGTCTTTCCGTTTTGGGTTTTTTGTGATAGATGTTCCTATGCGCTTTCTGATGTAATATTGACTATGAGTGAATCAAAAACATTCATCATTTCTTAACTTCTGAGTCCTCCAGAGCATGCCACGATCTCAAACACATACAAGCCCTAACCGTTTCAAGATTCAAGCTGTGCCTGAAATCGGTAATCATTTGTCGGGCTAATGAAAACGAGCGCTCCGAGTCTGCAGAGGTTCCAGGCATTGCAAGATAGTCCCTCGCCATCTTGGCCACGATTGGGTAATACCTTTCGTGACTCACCCACCACTCCTTGAATGTGGCCATTTTTCCCGTAGGAACTTCAGGCCCCTCTTCAGCAAGATACTCCGCGAGCTGCTTGTCTACTTTGTCCTTTCTCTGTGCACCAGCCTGTCGAAACAGCCCTCCCAGTATGGATGTCGTCGTCTTGTTGCTGGCTGTTGCTGCAGTGTGAGCTCCTGTCTTCTCCTTCGTTGCATCATACTTTTGCTTGTACTGCAGAAACGCCTTCGTGATAGTTCGGCGAACCGTGGCCTCATTGAAGTGGCCCTTATTCTGCACCTCTGCGGTATAGTAGCTCAGGTTGAAACGTGGGTCCAGAATTGTTGCAATGGTGTACTCCTCCGACGTCTTGTTGTAGTATTTCTCCAGTTTCTCAAGTCCAGCTGCACAAGCATCACTGAAATCATCTTCCCTTTCCACACCACGCTCAAGAATGTCCACGAGTTTATTCATGAGAGGGATGCAGAGAGAAACAGTTGCATATGATGATGCTTCCAAAATGGTAGTGATCTCATGCAACGAAGCCAGAATTGAGTGCACCTGGTCAAGAGATTCCCACTCCTCTTCCTTCATTCTCAGCTTCTCAAAAACCTCATCCGGCACCTCCTTCATGTACGCAGATATGGCGGGCTTCAAATCCTTGGCGCGGTCCACCATGGCGTAAGTGCTGCCCCATCTGTTTGGGGTATCTTGTTTAAGCGATCTTTTGTCCTTAATTTTTTTCTCCAGGCAGATGGCGGAGAACTTATCCTTGCGCTGGGAGGAGCCACCGAGGTAAACTGCAAGTCCCCGGATCTTTGCTAGCGCTCGATCAACACGAGGCGCCTTCAGAAAGCATTCGGCAGCGAGGTGCAGGACATGAGCAAAGCACATAAGGTGCCTGTCCTTGCAGAATCCTTTTTCCTCTGCAAGCAGCGATAGGAACTTCTCATTTGTAGAAGCAGTGTCAACTGTAACCCCCATTACCTTGTCTTGCAATTCCCATTGCGTGTAGACACTGTCAATAAAGGCCTCTTTGATTGCTTCTCCGGTGTGTTGTCCTCCCAAACGTCGAAAATCTAACAAAATGGACTTACTCTCAAAGTTTTCATCGATCCAGTGTGCAGTAATGGCCATGTAAGGATCCATGTTGGGTGCTGTCCACAGGTCACATGTAAAGGAGATTTTCGAAGACAAGGCACCAAGTCGCTTCTTCAGCTTTGCGCGGAGATCTTCGTAGGCTTTCATGATGTCAGTTGCGATAGTGACACGACAGGGGACTTTGACTTGTGGCTCCAGCCACTGCAGATAATTTTTCAACTCAGCAGACTCGATAAAAGAGAAAGAAATGACGCCCTTGGCAAAAATACGTACCAGTCGTCGACGATTTTCCGCATCCGAGTACGTGCCTCGTGAAATGCACTTTTCAATGCTCTGAAGGCCAGATGAAGATTCGTCAGGGTACAACTCAGCATGGCGAATAGGATGTTGGGTTTTCAAATGATTCTTCATACCAGATGTAGTTGAACCCTTAGGAACTTTGAAGATTTGTCTTGTTGGATACAGAAGACAACGAGCCGTTTCCTTACCTTCAGCTTCAAAAACTTGCCAGCAAGGAGCTGTCTTCGCCCTTTTTTTGGACTCTGGCGTTGCCCCGTCTTCATTGTTGGGAGCGGATTCGGTTACGGATCGTACACGCTTATCTGAGTTCGACGGGACGGCGACCGATCCTTGCTCAGCAGGCGGATGTTCTGCAGCAGCATCGTCATGGTTTTCAGACTGGATTGTTGCATCGACGGGCGCCATCGTAACTTGCGTCGGTTCAGGAATGTGAAGAGCGTCCAGCGTTTTCTGGTTGGATAAACTTTTAGAGAACCTTGGATTGAAGACTGAAGTTAAACTGTGTTTATAGTAAGTGGCTCAGAACATTAGCACTGAAAAATTCGAGGGGCACGCGGGGCGTGCACCTGCAACGCGGGGAATATTTTCGGAAAAAACGGACAGCTCAAAAATTCCGCGACATTGACTCGGTGACTTACCGTTTGTTTTTTCGAAGTAACCTCGCATGAAATTTGCGCGGTTGTCAGAAGGGCGAAAGCACCCCTAGATATCTGCGCCAATGTTTCTCATCGCTTAGGCGAGAGTCGATTCTTCAATTGGCGCAACCACGTAACAGCGTCCAATTCGAATGTAGTTGCGTCATTTTTCAACGCCCCCCTACTCACGTACTGTGGGGGAACTTTTGTAATTTTAGGCAGACAACGTTTCGAAAATTTGTGCCCGTTCCTGATTGAATTATTTCACGTGCGACAACTACTAGTCACGACCCGGTTCCGTGACAGTCTAGCGCAAAAATCGTTCTGACACGACCTTCACCGTGCGATGTCCACATTCACCACCCCGTGTGTACACTTTGTGAAGGTAAGCGATAGTTAGGAGCCATAGCTAGGAGAACCCTAGCTAGGCAAGAGAAAGTTTAGGCAAAGAGGGGGTTCACTAGCAGGAATGAGGATACATATAGCAAACCCTAGATGGGTTGTACTCGCTATAGAGCACCCCACTACAGGCTAGAGAATAACATTCTGACACACCCCCATAGCCAAAGTGGGGTGTAATGAGTACAATGAGCAAGCACAGAGCAGGTTCACAAGTGCAAGCAAAGCTAGAGGCTTTCACAAAGGGCAAGTGAGGAGGAGGAGGCGAGACTGTAGGAGGAGAGGAGATAAGAGGCGACGGCTGAAGCTGCAGACACACGGGCAACAGGAGTCAAACTGGCACAGTGGCTACCGGAACAGCGCCCCGGAATACAGGAGTAACTGGCTCCGCGGCTAAGTGCGGCAGACGAGCAACGGACCCACGGGCGACTGGCGCAGCTGGCTACGACTGGGCTACCGGAACAGCGCCCCGGACTACAGGTGCTGCTGACGACAAGACGGCAGCCTCCGCTCAACCTCCCCCGACCGTCCCACCCCCCTCTCACACACCCCCTGTTCGAACCCTAGCTCCACTCCCACGTCACCCCCCTAGCACCACTCCTTCGGCTCCCACACACCCACCCCCCTCAGCGGCAGCTGCAGCAGCGGGAGACGGAGGAGGAGGAGGAGCAGGGGACGGAGCACACGGCCAGCACCCCCATAGGCGCCACCCCCACACTCGCCACCACCCAAACCCTAAAAGAGGCAGAATGGGAGGGGGGAAGGGGCGACAGGGGAGGGCGCGCGGCTCCCCAGGGCAACGCGACGAGGCAGCAGGTGGGGGGGTCGCGCGCGGCTCCCCAGGGCGCCGCGACGGGGCAGCGGGGGGTCGCGCGCGGCTCCCCAGGGCGCCGCGACGTGGCTTCGAGGTCGCGCGCGGCTCCCCAGGGCGCAGCGACGAGGCAGCGGGGCCGCGCATGGCCCCCCAGGGCTCCGCGACGAGCGGGGGGGGGCCGCGCGCGGCTCCCCAGGGCGCCGCGACGGGGCAGCAGGCGTCGCGCGCACTTCCCAGGGCGCCGCGACGGGGCAGCGGGGGCGACGGGGGGGGTCTGCTGCAGGCGACGGGAGGGAAACGACGGGGGGAAACCGCCGCGCACCCCGGGGCGCACGGCGGGCAGGAAACCGCCGCGCGCCCCGATCGCGCGGCGGGAAGAAAAATAAGGCGTCGCGCGCCCCATGGCGCGCGACGGAGAGGAAAGCAGCGGAAGCATCGAGTGGGGCCCACAGGTCATGAGCGTAACCGCTCTGACACCATGTGAAGATAAGCGATAGTTAGGAGCCATAGCTAGGAGAACCCTAGCTAGGCAAGAGAAAGTTTAGGCAAAGAGGGGGTTCACTAGCAGGAATGAGGATACATATAGCAAACCCTGTTAAACTGTATTATGCTTGTAGGCTGTAGTGGGGTAGCCAATATGGGGTACAACCCCAACTAGGGTTTCATATTTGTACCCAAACTTCTGTTAGTTCATCCATTCTTGCCTAGTGATTCTGACATGGTATTCAGAGCAGGAGGTCCCTAGGACCTACCGATCGTTTTTAGGGCCCACCACCGCTCGCATGCGGTTACCACGCTACCCCGTGCCCTAGCCTCGTAGCGCCCTCGTGCGCCCTCGTTAGCGCCCTCGCGCGCCCCTCGTTAGCGCCCTCGCGCGCACCCTCGTTAGCGCCCTCGCGCGCCCCTTGCTAGCGCCCTCGCGCGCCCCTCACTAGCGCCCTCGCGCGCCCCTCGCCGAGCCGCCCGCTCGCAGCCCGCCCGCCCGCTCGCTGCCCGCTTCGCGGCCCGCTCGCTACGCAGCCCGCCCGCCCGCTCGCTGCCCGCTTCGCGGCCCGCCCGCTTCGCAGCCCGCTCGCTCGCTGCCCGCTTCGCGGCCCGCCCGCTTCGCAGCCCGCTCGCTCGCTGCCCGCTTCGCGGCCCGCCCACTTCGCAGCCCGCCCGCCCGCTCGCTGCCCGCTTCGCGGCCCGCCCGCCTCGCAGCCCGCTCGCCCCGCTGCCCGCTTCGCGGCCCGCCCACTTCGCAGCCCGCCCGCCCGCTAGCTGCCCACTTCGCGGCCCGCCCGCTTCGCAGCCCGCTCGCCCCGCTGCCCGCTTCGCAGCCCGCCCGCCCGCCCGCTGCCCGCTTCGCGGCCCGCCCGCCTCGCAGCCCGCTCGCCCCGCTGCCCGCTTCGCAGCCCGCCCACTTCGCAGCCCGCCCGCCCGCTAGCTGCCCGCTTCGCGGCCCGCCCGTTTCGATGCCTGCTCGCAGCGCCGCCCGCTCGCCCGCTACCTGCTTCGCAGCGCCGCCCGCTGCCTGTGCACTGCCGCTTTCTCCTGTCCCCTCTGCTGCTGCCGCTGCTCTGCTGTGCCCTCACGCCTGAGCTATGGCCTCTATTCGCGTTCTTTCCTTCGATGCTGAGGGCCGTCCCGTGCAGTTCACTTCCTGGCTCGACGACCTGCAGTTGTATCTTATGAGCAATAGCACGGACCACATCTCCCTCTATGACTACGCGTCTGGTGCTGCCGCTGCTCCTGCTGCCACAGCCGAGCTTAGTGTTCGTTCCCACTGGCAGACTCGTGACGCAGCTGCTCGCCTAGCCATTCGCAGCCACCTCCCGCTAGCTGAGCTCGAACATTTTGGCGACTGCAAATCCGCTAAGGCCCTGTACGACGCTGTCGTCGCTCGCTACTCCTCGCCTGCCACAGCCGAGCTTAGCCGCCTCATGCTGCCGTACCTGTTCCCCGATCTGTCCACCTTTACTACAGTCGCCGATCTTATCACCCACCTTCGCACTAGTGATGCTCGCCTGCGTGCCGCCCTTCCCACCGAGTTCTGCGCTAAGAACCCCCCTCCACTGTACTGGACACTCCACTTCATAGTCACCCGTCTCCCTGACACCCTCCGCTCAGTTCGAGACCACTTCCTTGCTCGCTGTCCCACTGAGCTCACAGTCGCCCTCCTAGAGGAGCACCTGCTCGCGGCCGAAAAGAGCATTGTAGCTGTCGGTGCTGCTCGTGGCGCTCCTCGCACCCCCATCTTTGAGGGGTGTTCTCCCTCTCCCCTCGCTCCCTCCTACGCTGCTGCTGCTGCTGTTGACTTCCTTGGTGCTGAGTCTGTTGGCGCTGCTTCTACTCCTGGTGGGAGGCGCCGCACCGGCAAGGGCAAGGGGGGCAAAAGTGGTGGTGGTGGCACTGGGGGGGGAGGAGGTGGGGGAGGTGGGGGGGGAGGCGGTGCTGGAGGGAGCGGTGGCGGGAGCGCTGGTGGGAGTGGGGTCGGTGGTGGAGGCGGGGGCGGCGGAGGAAGCAGTGGCAGTAGTGGCGGCGGCGGCGGTGGCGGCGGTGGCGGTGGTGGCGGTGGTGGCGGTGGCGGTCGGAGCGGTGGTAGTGGTGGCGGCGGAGGTCGGAGTGGAGGCACTGGCTCGGGCCAGAGCTCCCAGCAGCAGCAGCGTCCCCAGACGACCCAGCAGCTTCGTGAGTGGCTTGCTCAGCGTGGGACGTCGGGGGCCAGTGCCCGCTGTTCTTATGTCATTCGCACAGGTGACCGCAAGGGACAGACGTGTGGGAGGTTCCACACCCCGTACCGCTGCTTCTCCCGCCTTGACGACGCTTGGCGTGAGGAGATGGGTGCGGATGTTGAGCGCCCCCGCTGGGCTGAGCTCATGAGGGCTGGTGTTGATGTCTTTGCTCTTGACTATGATGCTATTATTGCTGCCATGTATGCATTGACTGTTAGTGCCGAGGGAGACTGTTACTTGTGTGTGCCGCCTGACCCAGGTATAGAGCCCGCTCCCCTAGGTACCAGTGAGTCTGCTCTCTCTGGTATGGTGCCCCCTGTACTTGCTCCCCCCAGTGCTGTCCCGGCTGGTTTCGAGTCTGCTCTCTCAGGTACAGCACCCACACAGACTCCTCTCTCAGGTACCGCACCGGCTGAGGCCTGTCACACCTTCACCCTTGACTCAGGTGCTTCCCGTTGCTTCTTTCGTGACAGTACTGAGCTCACACCGCTTCCTGCACCGGTCCCAGTCTCCTTGGCTGA